GCTTCTTTAAGGGCCTGGTAAGTGGATTTTTTTTTTTTTTTTTTTTGGTGTCTTCTCTCTGGGCTCTCTCCTTCCCCAAGAAGGTTAAATCCTTCTCCACTTACAAGCTGAGACTTTGAGCAAGTTATTGTCTGGCTGAACCAGAGTTTTTATCTGTGCATGAAGGGTGGTGTCTTACTCATAGAATTTACCAAATAGTTACATGAGCTACTACATGTAGTCACCTAGCGCAGTGCCTGAGACCTAGGCAGCAATCAGCATCATCACCACCACCATCGTCGTCATCTTTGTTCAGTGTCTTGTGCATAGTAGATGCTCTGGTAATTATTTGTTGAATAAATGAATGGATGGAGAATTAATGCATTAGTAGCTTATTTTATTTGCATTATATTATACCAATTTGAAGTGTCAAAAAAAATTAGACAAATCAAATTAAACACACTTTATGTTGTGAGCAAGGCAGCACTCAAAACCAAGAGGTTCAGAGTGCACTGCCCAGTGACTTGAGCAGTAAGCTTTTATAAGCCAAGCATAGAAGCAAAGTAGAAAATTTATCTGATTGGGTACAATGAGGCATTTGCCTTATTTGGTCATGATGTGATGAGGTATCTGCCTAATTTGGGAATGGTCTAATTAATTGGTTGCTAGTGATTGGCTAAAGCTCAGCTATTTGTGATTGGCTACAAGCTGGCTATTTGTTACAAAAAAGTATACTCATAAGGTAGATTTGGGTTTGTTTACTTACTAAGTGTGGTTGCAATTTGCTACACAGACACTCAGAGTAAGGAGACTGCCTCAGTCTAAAAGCCTCCTGCTTATTTAATTTACAGGGTTATAAATGCACAATTGTGTTATTTCGTGGACTATAGAATCAAGGGCTGCTAGATGCAGAGGAACTTTTTTTACTGCTTGCAATTTTAGGCAGACTGGTGGGGAAGTGTTTTAGATTTGCTTATTTTACTCTCCTCTACAACATCGAAGCTCATCTTCACCACTGAACTCCTAGCTCCATGAGGGTAGGGCACCACCTTTCAGGTTCAAGGCTGTGTCTCAAGCACTTTAAATAGAACCACATAAACAGGAGGTGCTTGATAAACAAAGGAATGCATGGATGAGATTAAGATAATAGATACTAAAATATGAAATATAAAGTTGGACTACATGACTTGAAATTGTTACCCTTTGATAAAACATTGTACTCAACTTTAACCATACTTACAGTTTCTACTTGCATGTTTAAAAAACACCTACTTTATGGATGGAGACACTGAAACGAGGTATCTACTAATAATTTGACTGACATATGGAAACCACTGAAATTTCTTCCCTTCCTTCCTTTTCTCCCTTCTCCCTTCTTTCATTTTTCTTCCGAAAATGTTTACGAAGCATTCCATCTAAAGCACATTCACACTTAGAGTTTCTCTCTCCTTATTTCACAAGATGTGATGGTTCTTTGTTAGCTTCTTCTGTCTGGATGTAGTGCAGTCTTCAAACTCATCAGGCAGCCCTTGCCACGGATTCATTGATGTGAGCAGTGTCGATGCTGATATAAAGCAAGAAAGCCGGTTTGTAGCCCTGAGAGAAATACTTCCCCCACCTAGGTGAGGCTCTACTGGATTTGCTAACACAAGTCTTCTCAAAATGTTCTGTGCACATGAATCACCTCGGGATCGATGAACACACATTCTGATTGAGTTGTTCTGAGGTCCTACCTAGGATTCCACAAAGCTCCTGATTGATGCTACAAAAGCTGCTGATCTGGGGACCACCCTGGAGTAGCAAGTTGCTAACGGGCCAGAAAAGAAAATGTTGAGGAAAATATTTGGCTTTCTTTTAGTTTACATTTTTTAACCCATGATTTATTCATTCGTTTAAAATGAACACCACTCAGGGAATGATTTACATTGTGGCTTCTAATTATTCTAATGGAAGCCAACCTCCACAGTAGGTAGGTAGGAAGGCCGAAAAAGGGAGATGGTATGGGGAAGTTCAGATGATTTCTAATAATGTGGTCATTCATTTAACAAATATTTGTAGAATATTTAGAATCCTGGCACTGAGCTAGACCAGGGGTATTAAAAACACAACTCCTGTTTTTGTAAGTAAAGTTTTATTTGAACACTGCCATGTTCCTTCGTTTACATGTTATCTGTGGCCACTTTCGCACAAAAACATGAGGGGTGACTAGTTGCGCGATGAGGGTTGACTTGTTGGACTGACTAGCTGACTAGACTGCACGGCTCATAAGGCTTAAAATATTTACCGTATGGCCCTTTGTAGAAAACATGTGCCAAGCCTGGAACTAGGCACGAGGGGTGGTATGTTCAGAAAAGAAAAGGTACAGGGTACCTGACCTTAGGGGTTCATATTCTAAGGGGAAGCATGGAGCTAAAAAGTGTTTATAGATAAGTCGAAAAAACAAAATTATTAAAACTATAAAGTTAAAATTACAGGAGGCTGAGGCAGGAGAATCCCTTGAACCTGGGAGGTGGAAGTTGCAATGAATCGAGATCGCGCCACTGCACTGCAGCCTGGGTGACAGAACGAGACTCTGTCTCAAAAAAAATAAAAAGTAGAAGACAGATGTTAGACAAAAAATTAGATAATAAGATCATTTCAGAGAGTGGTGTGTTCTGAGAGAAAATAAAACAGGATAATGAACCTAGGTGGTAACTGGGGAGGGACCCAAAGTGAGATCATTGTTGGGGTTTCTACACCCCAGGTGCTAAAAGCATTCTAAGAATGAGCTCGCTTTATCTCGGGAACAACCCTCTGAGATAAGTTTGTCATTTCCATTTCAAAGAAAAAGAAACCAAAGCACAAAGAGATAAGTAATTTGTCCAAGATTTCACCAAGCTAGAAAGTCCCATAACTGGGCATTGAACCAGGGCATCTGATTGGAGACCATTCTCTTATCCACCACTGAAGAATGAGCTACATTAATTTAGCACAGCACCTAGCACAGAGTAAGCGCTACGTAAGTGGCCATTGTTGCTGTTGAAATTACAGATCTTCGATAGGCAGCAACATCTTTCTGTTTTTCTCCAGGGACCAAAGCGGATGTTGGATGCTCAAGTGCAAACAGACCCAGTATCCATCGGACCAGTTGGCAAATCCAAGTAAACAAATCACCACGGTTCCCACCAGGTTCTCCTGCCAACAAGATGTGTTCTCCTTACTGCATCTCCTCCCCAAACTCATTCTATGTATATATTCTTCCAGCAAGCGAAATTCTGCCTAGAAATTAAGCCCGAGCTGTTGTATATTGAGGTGTATTATTTACGTCTCTGGTCCAGTCTTTTCTGGCAAATAACTGTAAAGATGGTTTAGCAGGTCACCTAGTTAGGTCAGAAGAGTCGATGATCACCAAGCAGGAAAGGGAGGGGACAGAGGAATGCATTAGGGTTAAGTGATGAAAACGGTGGTGGTGGCCAGGAGTGGTTGCTCACGCCTATAATCCCAGCACATTGGGAGTGCGAGACAGGTGGATCGCTTGAGGTCAGGAGTTCAAGACCAGCCTGGCCAACATCATGAAACCCCGTCTCTACTAAAAAGACAAAAATTAGCCAGATATGGTGGCACGCACCTGTAATCCCAACTACTCAGGAGGCTGAGGCACAAGAATCGCTTGTACCCAGGAGTTGGAGGTTGCAGTGAACCAAGATTGTGCCACTGCACTCCAGCCTGGGCAACAGAGCAAGACTCTGTCTCAAAAAAGAAAAAAAAAATGGCAGTGGCAAGTAAGTTGTGGAAGAGAAATGCTGTGAGAAGGAATTAAGCATTGTAGCAAACACATGCTCATCCTCTAAGCTTGAAGAGGGGAGACGAAAATCCATTTGTTTAAATTCACATCTCAAGGAGGGAGAACCCAAGCGTGCTGGGCGGTTGCCAATTTCCTACAGTGGAATGTGTGGGGTATGAAAAATGAATCGATAAGCGTTGTTTTTCGTAGGGTCCTTGTAAGTTATTGATGAGAGGGAAAAGATTGACTGCAGAGGGCTTAAAATGATTTGGGAAAACAATTGCTTTTAAGGCCCAACGTCAAGGGCAAAGATTACAACTTAAAAAAAAACAAACAGAAAAAACAAAAAACGAAAAAAACAAATAAAGAAAATTGCACAGTTATTTTGCAACACAAGGGGGCAGCAAGGTCCCCATTTTAATCCTGTATTCTGTATCCCTAACAAAGATTTGGTCTTTGCTATCTTACATTATTAATGTTTCTCAGACGGCTGAGGGGCTCGCTTCATCTGTTCTGTCTGACACTTATCTCAAGTGTGTCTGTCATTCCTAATGTTCTCAGGATGTGCTCTGATAAAACCCTTCCTATAACCTCAGTTACTAAAAATTTACAGATTCATTCAAATACCTGAGTTGTTTTTAATACCTGTACAAAGAAGTAAATAGGACCCTGAGTCTATTAAAATGTAATTCAAAGTAGCATATGATTGACTGACAGTCATGTAAACTGTATCTTTCTCTGATTTAATAAAAAGTACATTTAATTCTAAAGTATCTTTTAATTTTCAACTTTCAAAGCAGTCCCACTGTATATCTGAGATGTTCTACCTTCTACAGTATAAAATCCATACTATTCCTCCATTTTCTTCTTTGGAAGATAATTCTCTCCCAGATCCTCCCGAATTTCTTTGTACATGGGCACACACACACACAAATGTGTCCAAGTGTTTGCAGGTACACACACGTGCATGTATAGAAAAGGGCTGTTTTGCTGGGCATGGTGGCTCACACCTGTAATCCCAGCATTTTGGGAAGCCAAGGCAGGCAGATCACAAGGTCAGAAGTTGGAAACCAGCCTGGCCAACATGACGAAACTCCATCTCTACTCAAAATACAAAAATTTGCCAGGTGTGGTGGCACATGCCTGTAATCCCAGCTACTCAGGAGGCTGAGGCAGGAGAATCACTTGAACCCAGGAGGCGGAGGTTGAAGTGAGCTGAGATCAGGCCACTGCACTCCAGCCTGGACAACAGAGCAAGACTCCATCTCAAAAAAAAAAAAAAGCGCTGTCTTAGGCCAGGTTGCCTGGAGCTGAGCCTGAGATGGGGATTTGGACGCACAGGATATACTGAGAGTGGGCTCCCAGGGAAAGGGAGTAATAGAGAAAGAAGAGAGCAAGAAAGGAGTGGGGCAAGGTTGGTTTCAGCTGGAGCATGAATCGCACCACCCAGCTAATTTGATCTTGAGGCAAGGGGGCTGGCCTTTGAACTCCTGTAAGTGCGTTCTGGGCTGCCCTGGGAGGTGGGAGGATGAGTAAGCTGCCCCCCCTTGAGCTGCGAAGCTGGTTGCCTAAGTAACTGGAGGATGAATGCATTGACAGTGTCCACTACAGATACAGGCATATATGTTCAGATATGTACTTATACCCATATTCACATACATGTGCACATACTCATGTGAATATATATCATGCAAGAATTGATCCATGCACTCACACAGTCATATTTACATACATGCAAATAAACACATGTAACTACACAGATCCACACATACACATTGGCTGAAACAAATCTATCTCTTATGCAATTCATCACACATTGATCGGAGGTAAACATTGAATACACTCTCCTGATGTGGACCTAGACTGTAAGGACAAGTTTGCTGCTTAGGCAAATTACACCATGGCTTTGGTAAATAGGCATTTGGAAAATGCATTCAGAAAAATACAGTATCACTCGAAACCCTGATGTAAGTGAGAACAGGATCCCGCGCTGCTGAGGCCTGTGAGCTCCCAGTTCGGACTGGCTGAATTCGTGTTTCAAATAAAGAACAGGTCTTTTCCTTGCATCTAGGTTAGCACCTTCAAAACTCCTTACCATACCTCCAGAGTACTCACACCTGTGCCTCACCCAGTTGAGAACTATCCCACTTAGTGTCATCAGAATGCTTAACTTGGCCCGAAGCAGGAACACAGCACTTGGGGAAGCCAGCGATGGGAGGTCCATCGTTGCCACCATCAGGACACAGGATAATTCAAGGAAACCAGGCAGCTGCCATTCCTTTGTCTCCAAACACCCCGAGCTCCTGGGCTGCAGTCCATTGAGGAAGGTGTCGGTATCATTTGCAAGTTTCACCTCGCTGGGTACGGAGGCTTTTTGCCCAGATAAGAAATGCCCCTAGGCAGGAGTGAGAGAAGCAGACTGGGTAGCCAAGGCCAGTTACCTAGCCAGTTACTAAGGCAGATAGAGCCCTCCCAAGCCCCCAACTCAAACAACACAAAACAAAATAAAACAAAAAAGGTTATTTGTGGAGAATCTCTCTGCAAAGTGTGCCAACAGTTTTTATAACTGATTTCTTCTTCTGGGCCAAAAAAGAGAATCATCTTTTAATGGAATTACTTTTATTTTTAAAGCAAGAAAGGCCAAAGAGAAGTAAAGCAAATGACTTATTGGGAGAACTCTAAATTCAGTTACAGCTTCAGAAACAAATTCACACTCTACTTTTTTTTCTGTGTGTGCGTTTGCGTTATTGTTATTGTGTTGAGATCCCATTCCCGATGCGTTTACAATAAATACTAATGTGCACTCCTTATGCTGAACTAGGGTGAAAAAGAGCAGAAACTCACCAGTGAACCCAAGAAAGCCTTTAGGACACAGATTCTCAGAAATGCCACTCAGAACAAGCAGTGGGCGACATGAGCAAAGCAAACGTGGCACAGAAAAAAATATAAAGGGAAAGAAGGATTTAGACCTGCGGGAGGGAGCAAAATGCCTTTATTATTATTTATTTACTTATTATTTATTTTTAGGTACGCAGGGAAGTGTGTCTTCTCCCATGTCAAGAAGAATTGGCCTTTCCAGGAATGGAGCTATTGAGCTGAAATGGCTGCCACTGTACACACACACACACACACACACACACACACACACACATGCACACACCTCTCCCTTCCAGTTCCAGCTGACGGTGACTTTCTGACTGGTATCCATAAAAGAATTCATTCAAAGCAGTTGTTCCCAGCAGCCCGTGAGGTCCTTCCTGAATTCATCGTCTTGGGGAAGGAGGTACATACCAAAATAGAAGCCAAAATGGGAAGAAAAAGAGAAAGAAAGTGTAATTCCTATGTTTCCGTTGTATGTATCCCCTTGCTTTTTAGACAAATTATCGGGGGTTTAAACACACACTCTCTCCCCTCCCTCCTCCTTCCTCCCTCCTCCCACTTCACACACACGCGAACACACACACACACACACACACTCACTCTAGATTGTTCTTGTTTGCAAACAGTCGAGAAGCACTGGGGTCTCATTAAATTAGATTCCAAGCATCTTAAAGAAAAAAAAAATTAGATTTCAAGAAATCGAGAATCTGTGTCCTTCCCCTTCTCAAAGTGCCTGGAAGGGCACAGATTTCTCCAACACGAATCTGACAATGTTATTTCTTATGTCAGATGATCCCAAGTAGATCTTATACCTTAAAAAAATAAAATCAGCTACACCACCTACCTTAAAGGGAAGGGAAAAGAACTGATTCCAATTATTAACCAACCCAAGGTACAAACACAGTGGAAACTGGGGGATGTGCTTTGTAGCAATGTCAGATTACAGAGGCTGGTTTTAACCATCCTTTGAATGTCCCTCTTTAAGCCTTTTTAAAAGGCAATTTTGCACGGCGAGTAGAATTAGGCTTCTCTGTGGTCAAGATTTTGTTCACTCTATCAGTGCAAATGAAGTGGCCCCGGCCCGCTGGAAATTACAGTCTCCATTAGGAAGAAAAGAAATTACTTACCGAGCAGCAAATTCTCTAAATTTGTAATTCAGATCTTTAGTGCAGAATGCCGGTCAGGATCCAGCCCTTTGCATAAATTGGTTTTCTGGGGAGTTTAACCCCTTAGCCTCTGTTGCCCTTTTCTGGAAAGGCATCCCCGCGACCCTCTCCATCTCCTGGCCCTTTAACTTGTCCCAGCAGAAGTTGCAGTCCACAATTTAACCGAAGTAGGGATAATCCATTATCCCACATTACCGTTTATAAAGTGCTCTGGGTACAGTCTGTAATTTCAAGCTGTATTTCCCTCACTGAACTTAAGTACTTCCTTTGTTACATTTCATTACCGGGGACTGACATGCACCTGTACAGATTTTTTTTTTTTTTTTTTTTGCCATTTTTTGTTTTGTTTTGTTTTTCCAAATGAGCCACTTCTTGACAAAATGGCCCCCAGCTGCACATCTGCTAATGACAGCCGCGGAAGGGCTGGTTTCTTACTTGATCTCCTCTCTCGGAAGTATGTTTTTGTCAAAATGCAGCCACGTGGGGGAGCTGCAGGACCCGGGGTTCTACAGTGCCTAGCCCTTTTTCTCTGCTTGCCTAACCAGGAAACTGAGCCAAAGCAGCCTGAGAATGTATTTGATTAACTTCTAGAAAGCAGTCAAGTTTAATGAGAAGAACCAGATGGAGAAAGCTCAACTGGGCAAGTCAGTTGCCTTCTATGATTCTCAGCCCTCCAAACAAAGATAAGGTCGTTTGGATTGTATTTCCATTCTTATCTGTTCCATCTTGGAAGAAGCTCAAGGAAGGCTGTGTGATTGCAAAACGTTTAGGTTGGTGCCATTGGCAATACATTTAAATAATCCTTACTGGCCCATCCTGCTCCGCAGAGCAGCCTTAACTCTCATCCTCTCCACTCCCAGCTAGAGAGCAAGCGACTTCAACTCTGAATGTCCTCCCTCAACAATCGGCTAGTAATAGAGCCTACGTGTGCGGTTGCCGCCAGCATGCAGTGAAATGGTGCACACCGAACATTCAGTCCAGTGGCTGACATGTTGTAAGCACTTAGTAAATGCAGGCTATTTTATCATGGGGGACTTTTAGCACCAACTAACAGAAAACCCCCTACTTGAATTGGCAGATAATCATCACCATAAGGGTATTTATCATTCCATATCATAGGTGTTATATAACATCTTTGGCATTGATTCTCTGAGAGTGTGTTCCAGCTAACAACGATAATAAGGAAACGTATCGTTTCCTGTAACTCGTGTTCGGTCTCACAACCTGGCTCTGATTTTCTGACACTCTGTTCTGCCATGTTCCATGGGTCGACTTCATCCTAAAACTGTTCCAAATGATGGCTGCAGCTCCAGGCAAGGGATTATGAGAATACCATAATCAGTTTTCATGGATCATTTCGGTGAAATCGTTAGTGAGAAGGCAATACGCTGATGCGGTAGACAGAAAACAATGATGATATCAGTGGTTTGAAGGCTAAACATTCCCCAAAGTAATTATGCCCCTTCAGTTCAGATCCATGGGATTTGTGTAATGACAGTCCCCACCTTCCAAAGCAGGGCCACTAGACTGTGAACTTATGAAGATCTGGGTCTTCTTGTCTTGCTCAATCACCGTTCTATTGTTGGTGTCTAGCACAATGCCTGGACCTGGTAAGATACTCAACAAACAGTGGCTGAAAGGTTAAATTGATAAACAAATACTCTGTGGCCACACCCGTGGTGGATCGCCTTATCCTCTAGCATGAGTTTGTTTTAGCTCCGAATGTCTGATCACGCTAACCAGACATCCGCTCTTCCCAGGTAATCAGCCCAGTGGTTCTAAAAGTACAGTCCCAGGACCAGCAGGCTCAGCATCACCTGAGAACATATTAGGAATGCAAACCCTCGAGCCCCACTTTGTGCCCGCCAGAATCAAAAACTCTTGGGGTGGGACCCAGTAACCTGTGGTTTAGCAACCCCTCAGGTGGTTCCAATGAAGGAGAAAATTTGAAAACCATTGGTCTAGGTAGAGCTACCACTTCACAGAATATCAACAGGGTGTTTGGTCCACAGCTGACCTTGAAGATGCGTGGATAATAAGAGCTAACATTAGACCTCACTAGACGCCAGGTATTGTGTGTCACATCACTTACCCTTGACAGATGAGGAAACTAAGGCTCAGAGAGACAAAAACCAACTTTGCCCGAGAACACAGATGGCAGAGCCGAGGCTAAAATCCAACCTAAGCACACAAAGGCTTGCGTTCATGTCTGTGGGAGAGACAGGCAGGCAAGAGAACAATAATAATATAATGGAAGAGAAGCAAACGCAGGATGTCGTGGGACTCAGGGGAGGCACTGGTGCAGGACCGCAGCGGGTAGAGGTCGGCCACTTTGGGGAGGTGACAGTTAACTCACAATGAATGAATCAGCGTTGGACAAAAGGGCTCCCAGAAGGACAGCAAGTCCAAAAGCCTGGAGTCCACAGAGAGAACGGCAGGTGGCTCAGCATGGCTGAAGGCAGGCTGTGGGGAGGAGAGATAAGAGGGTGGAAGCTGGGGACACACCAGGGACCATCGGGGACTTGGAGTAAAGAGTCCATAGTAGGAAGTTTAAATTGTCTCTTGAGGGCAATGGGGAGCCATGAAAGATATTTGAGCTGGAGGGGGACATAGTCAGGTTTGTATTTTGGCTGCAGGGAGGATTTAATACTCTAATACCAAAGCAATTCAACTCATTTACTGGGTGGCCTGAGCTGTCTTTTAGATATTTATTATGGTGTGTCATCATTTTTTTTAAGCTTCTTTGAAGATTGTAAGAAAGAGATAAAACCTCTAAATGGCTTTGACCCTTAAAAGGACACTTAAATGATTATTTCTTTTTTTTTTTTTTTTTTTAAGACATAATCTCACTCTGTCACCCAGGCTGGAGTACAGTGGCACGATCTCGGCTCACAGCAATCTCCGCCTCACAGGTTCAAGCGATTCTCCTGCCTCAGCCTCCTGAGTGGCTGGGACTACAGGTGCATGCCACCACGCCTGGCTAAATTTTTTTGTATTTTTAGTAGAGACAGGGTTTCATCATGTTAACCAGGATGGTTTCGATCTCCTAACCTCGAGATCCACCCACCTCAGCCTCCCAAAATGCTGGGATTACAGGTGTGATCCACCGCGCCCAGCCTTAAATGGTTATTTCTAAGTGTCGTAAACGTGAACTTAGAATTTGGCCTCATCTTTCACCCAGATGATTCACACCCATGATCCAAGGCCGTCTTGAGCAAATCACTTTTTCTCAGAGCCTCAGTTTGTTTCTCTGTGGAATGGGAATGCTAACAGCACTTATCTCGGAAAGTTGCTGAGAATAAACGAGACACGTATTTATGGCAGGTAGACACGGCGTCTGGCAGGTGAAGAGTGCTCGGTTCGCTTACCGATGAGGACGCAGAGGACCGCAGCCTGAGATAGAACAGACGTGTTCCCTTTCACGAACTCAAGGCCACCCAGCCTTTGAGACATCCTTAAATTTTGTTTCAGCTTCTCCTCATCCTCATAAGCAGTTGGCTGGCTGGCTTATCTAGAAAAAGGAAAGGCAGGAGGAGAGAGAGGAGAGGAAAACGTTCACTTTCCCTGCTGTTCATCCCACTTTAAAGCCGGGTCCACCCTTGGCTGTCCTTGGCTCCATGGTTGTATCTGCCTATAACCTTGGCCGGGTCGCCACGGAAGCAGGTGCCGTGCCTGCCTTGCCCCGTCGCCTTCAGCCCACCCGAGTTTACCCGCATCACTGACAGCTTCCCACCCAGAACTCCCTGTTCTTTGCTTTTCTCTCGGTGGCTTTCTCCAGGGGCTGTCGGGGCTTGTTTAGCCCAGCTGCAGGGAATTTTGAAAAACCTGAAATTTTATGTCCCCAACGGCAACCCTCAATCAATGAAAGATGAGAGATGGCAGGTAAACATCTCAGCGGCCGCATCTCTCAATGGGACACTGCTGAGGGGTTGTCTTCTTGTTCTCTCAAGGGTCCTCAGCAAGACCGAGCCACCGTCACCCACGGCAGTAACATACTCATGAGCACACAGCCACATACACATTTGTGCTTCCTGGGATCACTTCCCAAATAAACTACTGGCACCCAAATTCTTGTCTCAGGGTCTGTGCCTTAGGTTAAAATCCTCTGTGTCTTCGGGTTTTCTCCGGAGCATCTACCCCATGACAAGTGGCTGAATAGAAGGACGTTAATATGGGCACTAGTTTAAAGGTTTTGGAAGCGTTTCAAAGACAATCATAGGGCGGTGAGGCCCACCCAGAGATTAGAAATAGAAAAAAACAGAACTGCCACTAGAGACAGCCAGCCAAAGGGAAGAGGTGATGTCACTGGAGCCAGGGAACTGGGCAACCTGTGGGACACAGAACCCCATGTGGATAGGGGCGAGGCTGCTTGCGGGTAGTGGGAACCAGATGGGCGCTGTCTGAAGCAGTATCTTTTTGTCGACTGGAGGGAGGAGGAGGGAAAAATAGGTGTCAGTGCCTCCCACTGGCTCAGCCTAACCAGAAGCCAGTTGGTAATGGAACCTGGGAAAGGCAGTTTGACGAGAAGCTTGGGAAAAAAAAATCTGAGAGGAAACAGACAAATAGCTAGCAGAGGTGGAGTTTCTACTTGAAGAGGAGAAAAAATGGGAGGGGAGGGAAGAAAGGAAGGGAAGGGAAGGGAAGAAGGGAAGGGAACAGAGGACAGAAAAGAAAGGAAGGGAAGGGAAGAAGAAAAGGGAACAGAAGAAAAAGGAAGGGAAGGGAAGAAGGAAAAGGAAGGGAAGACAAGGGAAGGGAAGGGGCAACCTTGATTAGGCTCCCACTGCCTTCCCTGGCTCCAAGTAAATGAACATGTATGTTACGGTCACGCTGACATCGTGTCTCCTTTATCTTCAGAACAGAGCAGTAGTTATCAACACAGGCTCTGGGTCCAAACGGCCTTGGTTGGAATCCCAGTTCTGCTACTTGCTAGCCACATGGCTTTGAGCAGGTTCCTTAACTTCTTCAAGCTTCACTTTCACATCCATAAAATGGAGACACTAGCAGAATCCACCTCATTGAGTTGCTGTGGGGATCTAATAATGTATTCCATGCGAAGTACAGAATGAGTGTCTAATACATGTTCATGCTGAGGGAAACACACTGTTCTTTGAGTGTCAATCAGCTTATTCAAGTTCCTGCTAAAACATGTTTCTTCTCCTCTTTACCATCACACCTCCAACTTCAATGTCTAGAATCTCTACCCCTTGTCTCTACTTCACTGTCTTTAAAAAATATATATCTTTCTGCAGAGGTTCTGAGAACTGAGGAGAAACGGCCTTTCCCCTCCCCTCTGGGCTCACAACCCTCTCTCCGCATCCCCTGCCCACCCCCCCATCTGTGCTGGCCAGTTGTTCACAAGTAGCTTAATAGTTTTGAGAATACAAAAACAGGAAATTATGCCCCAGCCCTAAGACTAAAAAACTCATGTGCAAATCCTTCAGCGGACAGATTTCTTCAGCTTTCAAAAACTAGGGCTTTGAAAAATCAGGTCCCATGGCCAAGATCTCTGGATTTGCTTAATCATTTCCTTTGCAAATTTATAACCTCTTTAACCATGAAGGGAGATGGTGAGAAAGGGGGAGGCGGGAGTTGAAAATGTTTTAAGTCAACCGCAGGACAGGACAGGAAATTCTGGAGGGGGGTGCATTTTTCTTTAATCCCTCAGTGGCAGAGAGGCCTAAGAGAGCAGCTCTGGAAAACTGTTTATTGTCCAAGAAATGACCGTTTGGGGATATTGTTTTGCTGTTGATGTTGACCCAGAGGAAAACGTGGCAGCCTTCTTCATCCAGTGGCTTCATAGAGAATAGAAGGGCAGGGAAGGCACTAAGACAGCCTGGTCTGACCCTTGACTTGACTCATGCAACAAACATTTCTAGAGTGGTTGCCCTGCCCTCCAAAGGATAGAGAGGCCTGAGGCGGCCTCTCAAAGAGGTAAAATAACTTCCTCACTTGTCAATGCCATTTGAAATGTTAAGGAATCTACTGGAGGCTGTCTACTAGAAGAATCTAAAGCAGGTGATCCAAAGCTGTCTTATTATTAAAATTCCTAAAAGACAAAAAGAAGTGGGTTTTTTGGGGTTTTTGGGGTTTTTTGTTTTTTGGGTGTTTTTTGTTTTTGTTTTTGTTTTTTGCCTCCTTCCTTCTCACTTTCTGAGTTTTTCTGGGCTACCCAGAGTAACGTACTTTTTTAACCTTTAAGGTAAGTTCCTGTATTTAGCAGTGGTTTTCATTTGAAGCCGGGGCCCAACCTATTTATGTTGACCCAGCAAATGAAATTGAGTGGAATAGAATAGAATACAATAGAAATGGTATGAGGCATCACAGGTAATGAGTAACACTCATCCGTGAAAGGTTGGCTTTGATTACTAATGTATGTATAGAGACTCAAAATGTATTTCTTATTAGGATTTGTAGTAAGAAAAGTTTAAAAGCCTCTGATCTTTAATATAGTTCAGCAGCTAAAAGTGTGGGATCTGGAGTCTACGGGCACGAGTTTGAATGTCAACCTGCCACTTGCTGGCTGTGGGATGTTGGACAGGCTGGTTATCCTCTCTGGACCTCACTTAGTTAAGGAAAATAAAGAGACATATAAAATGAGAGCTATGAATACAACACAATAAAGAGAGATATAAAATGAATATTTTATATTGAATGAATATTCAGACATCACAGTGTCTGAATTGCTGGGGTCATTTATCTTCAGAAAACTCCATCCTTGCCATCTATATCTTTCATCTGGCCCAGCATTCTGCTGATTGTCTGGGGTCTACTCGCCTTAGGTGAAGCTACTTCCCCTATCTTAACCTCTTGATTTGATCTCCCTTCATTCCTTCCACCTCCAGTTGCTATCTCTAACATCTTCTGTGGAAAACCAAAGCCATTTAATACGTAGAATTTCTCTTGGGAAAAATGGCTGCACAGTTACAGACCATCTTACCTACTGAGTACAAAGATAAAAGCCAGACAAAAACCTGGAAGGCATCCTAAAGCAGAGATACGATGCTCTACTACAATTGAAAGCAACAGTAAGAGTGACAGTCGACTTTTCAGCAGCACTAATGAAAGCCCAAGGACAAAATCCTAAAAGAAGAAGCAAAGAAAGAAGGAAACGAAAACATAAGATGGAAAAGAAAAGAAAAAGAAAAAAAATAAGGGGTTGGGAAAAAAAACTGCCAACCTATAATTCTACACCCAATAAGAAATAGTTATCAAAATTAAAGGTGATTATGTTTTCAGATAAACAAAAACTAAATTACTGTGTTACTAACAGATCCTCACTAAAAGAAATACTAAAAGATTCCTTTTAAGAAGAAATAAAATGATCTCAGATGGAAGAATTAAAATGTAGGAAAGAATAAAAAGCAACAGAAGGATAAATGTGTTGGTAAATCTAAAGGAATACCAACTGTATTAAAAGATCATAATAATGTCTTCTAGGATTTAAAATATATGTAGAAGGCTAGGTGTGTTGGCTCACGCCTGTAATCCCAGCATTTTAGGAGGCCAAAGTAGGTGGATCACTTGAGGTCAGGAGTTCAAGACCAGCCTAGCCAAACCTCGTCTTTACTAGAAATACAAAAATTAGCCAGGCGTGGTGGTACAGTAGTAGTCTCAGCTACTCTGGAGGCTGAAGCAGGAGGACTGCTTGAACCCAGGAGGCAGAGGTTGCAGTAAGCCAAGATCACAGTACTGCACTCCAGCCTTCATGACAAAGCAAGACTCCATCTCAAAAAGAAATAAAATATAAAATAAAATAAAATATATGAAGAAAAAATACATGGTAGCAATAGCACAAAAGGTAGTCAAGAAAAAAAGGTACTGAACATGTTCCAAATTATTTTATTGCCAGAGAACTAACAACTTTTGTTAGATTCTGATAAGTCAGGGATCATAATTGTAGTCCATAAGGTAATTAAAAATATAGAAATGACAAGCTAATAGGAGAAGCACAATGATTGAAAAGAAAGACCTCATTAATTTAAAAGGTCAGAAAGGAGAAAAGGACTTATAAAAGTTGAAACTAATTAAAAACAGTCATATATTAATATTGTGATAGTACTATACTAATCATTACTTTAAGTGCAAATACAGTAAATATTTCCATTAAAAGACAGATTTTATACCAAATAAAAAAACAGAAACCCAAATATAATCCTTTTACATGAGATAAGCCCTAAATATAAGCACACAGACAAGATGAAAATAAAAAGATAGAAACGAACATTGCATAAATATAGTAACCAAAAGAAACCTAGTATAGCCATTCTAGTATCAGATGAAATACACTTTTAGAAAAGAAACAATATAAAAAATAAACAGGAATATCTTATAATAACAAAAAGGGTCAGTCCTACCAGGAAAAGCAATTCTAAGTCCACAGCACCTGATAGAATAGCTTCTATATACCTATAGCAGAAACTGCCAGATCCAAAAGGAGAAATAAATCCAGAATTATAGAATAGCTTCTATATACCTATAGCAGAAACTGCCAGATCCAAAAGGAGAAAT